ATTGGCATTTTATTGAAACTTGGGAAATAAAAGTGCCATAAAGCAAAATAGTAGATTTAGATAGATGAGGCTGATTTGTGGACATTTTGAGATGCGTAATTAAGGTGACCATTTCAGCTTTTTTTCAGTTTTATTTCTAGGAAAATTGATCGCTATGGGATTATGAAGGGTAAGCATCCTGAAACCCAGGTATTGACTACTTCCTGGACAAATTTTTATCATGTTTTCTTCCCTCCTGAAATAGGGAATTCACACCTTCGTAACTCCTTACACAACCATTTGTATAATACATGCTCCTTAGAATTTTTTATACTCTATTATGCCAAAAGACCTCTGACAAAATGATCACACATTGACGTTAACATAACATTGTATTGATAATACAGAGAGGCATTTCTATGCTATTGGAAGTAAACCTTTCATCATCATATTATCATCTTCAGAAGAGGAAGGGTTGTAACAGTGTTTTACAGCATGTGGCCCCTTCTGGCTGGTCTGTATCCCTCAAATCATACCCACAGTCACAAGCAGGTCAGTCTGCTTGAATTACAACACTCTAAACCACAGGGCAAATAGGGTGGCCTCTCTGATTAGAATGGAATCACAGCCACATTCTTGATCAGAAAAATCTTCAGAAGACTTGTGTCAGCAGCAGTTAATATCCACATGGCCTCTTTCAAACTGATTGCTGTCTGGACAATGTTAATTCAGAGACTGCAAAATATAAATCAAATCCTTTTAGGGCAATGTCTGCCCCACCAGCATTTCCATAACAAAAACTAAAACCAATTACTTATCCATCTGGTGTCCTTTGATGGGGTCTAAAGGAGAGCCATTCAATATTTCAAAGGCTGTCTGGTAAGTATTACAAGATATCTTCCATTTTCCACTATTCCGCATCAGCTTCACTAAATTACAACACCACATAAGACATCCACACAAATTCAGACTGAAGGACTTCCAGGAAATCAAAGGCAAACTAGAGCCAACAACCACGATGGAATGAGGAGCTGGCCAATGGATCGGCTTCTTGAATTCCTCTCTGGACATGGAGAGGACCTGGGATCACTCACAAAAACTCCAGACAGTAGGTCCCTGTGAGGAGACTGTAAGACAGTGGTCTCCAGTGTGTTTAGAGCTCTGGGACTGCCATCTTTGCCCAAGCCACAGTTGGCACCTTCAAAAGGACACTGGGTTTGCACACTTCCTGTCTTAATCATTCCTGGAAATTGCTTGTCAACTTTTTTGGATATTAAGAACCTTCAGAACGGCAAGTTTCATTTCACCAGGGGAATTTCCTTAAATCCTTGGCGAAAGAAGTTTTATGTAGGTTTAAGGACTTATAGCATTCTCATTTTGGAGTAAACAGCAAGAAGGTTATTTAGAATGTTCATTCTGGAAAGTTACAAACAGACTAAGGGGCCAGATGGTTTTGAAATAAGATTTTGAAATTAATTACAAAAATCCTTCCTGTGGTTTGTTTAAAATTTTATTAAAAATATGAAGATTTTGAAATTAAATATAAGAAACCTTCCTGTGGGAAAATGCTATTATTAGAAAAAAACATAATAAGATGGGACTTTGAAGGTTGGACACTAGAGGTAACCAGAAAGAACTAAAGATTATAATTAAAGGAGAAGAGAGCCACTAATACACAATGGAGCAAAATACTCTAATTTTGGAAGAATTCAAGGATATCTGGGAACAATGTACCCAGAAGTTACTCTTAAGATTGTCTTAAAAATGGATTTAAAAGAGATTATGGAAGTAGAACAGGCTACACTAGTTAAGACTGAGACCAGCCAATTTGAATGTGGATTTAAAAATGATAGGTTACAAGAATGATATGGAAAAAGATGTTACACTGGATTTATAAATGAAACCAGCTTATATTTTAATAATTAAAAGGAATATACAAACAACAAACCAGAAAAGTGACTTGGATAATTTTCTTATTTTGAATTTACAAAAAAGATACGTTAAAGTTTTAAAGGAGTTTCTAAGAAGACACAAAGAGAAAATGAAAAGAAATCAAGTTCTGGGACACTATTCAAGGGGACTAAGGATCAAGATTGTTAAAAGCAAAGGGAAGAAATGTAACATCGATTTATTTGATCAAGTTTAAAATATATATGTTGTTTCTGATAACTCTTAATGGATTTTTGCTGACCAGGACCCAATGATGAGGCTTTAAAAATTTGTTTATAGATAAGATATGAGATGTAGGAAGAAGAGATCTTTTGTTGTAATATCAGAAAGGGTGATAAGTTACTGAAACTGTGCTTGTCATAATGAAGGGTAAGTCATTTCTTTATGCATCTTTTTTCTTTTTTTACTATATTTTTTCTTTTTTCTTTTCTTGCTTTTTTGATTCTTTTTTCCTCTGCACTTTTTCTTTTTTCTTTTTATATTTTTCTTAGTTTGTATTAGTT